GTAGTACGTTACGTAGTAGGAGTAGGTAGTAGGTAGTAGTGTAGAGTGAGTAGGAGAGAGAGTGAGAGAGAGAGAGAGAGAGGGAGAGAGAGAGAGAGAGATACTATAAGAAGTTTGCATAATTGTGGCCATTGGTGTTCTTTTGGATCAGGATTTGTGGATGGGCTGGAGATGGGTAACAACACCAAGGTATCTGCAAACATGTATTATTCATGTGTGTATGTCTACACATGAAACCGCATGAAGCACATGCATGCATAGTGCCATCAACTTACAGGCACATACATCATATGTGCACATGGATTCATCTTTACAGCATGAGCACTAGCATGATTTCGACTCCTCAAATGCTCAATATTTATGTCTTAACATTTATGAAAACAACAAAGATGCACATTGATACATACACACACTCACAGATGCAAACCCACATCATTCATGTGGGCACGCTTGCACATTTAGTTGATGAACATCAACTAGATGTACAGATATAGAAGTATATAGATATCTGTATATTCACTTCGTGGTTTCATGCTACTACGATGACACCTAACAATTAGTTCATGAACACAAAATGCACCTACATTCATAGATAAACACATCAGTGGATGCATGCGCTTACGCATGAATGAATGCTTTCTTGTAGTGACATACAAGGTTCACACATGGGCATGTCGATCTGTTTTTTCATTAATGCATGTTGTAGCATGTAAACCCTAACCATTTGAATTCTCTTTTCACTTATATAAAAAGGCAGCAATAATGAGAATTGGGCTAAGAGAAATGCGTGCCTTCTCTAAGCTGATGTTCCCTAGTGTGAAAAACAACACCTTCTTTGAGAGCTGTGGCGTTGCAGATCTCATCACCACATGTTGTAAGCATTCAGCCCCATATTATGATGAAATCCCAATATCCTCTTTATAAAAAAACAAATTAAACCGGTTCTTCCTCTTCTGACTGTAATATGTCATGGGTCTCTTCTTTCATGGTAGTGGGTGGGAGGAACAGGAAAGTTGCAGAAGCCTTTGCTAAGAACAATGGCAAAAGGTGGGTTCTCTTTGCAGAAACAAATGCCTTCAGTATGAGAAATTCTAGGGTTTGTCGTCTGGCTCCTTCTCTTAAGATACTTATTCAGTGTTCTTTGCTTATGGGAATGCCAGGTCTTTTGATGAACTTGAAGCAGAGATGCTCCAAGGCCAGAAATTACAGGTATCACTTCCTTCTATGTCAAAGTAAAAAATGATAAATTCGTAAAACTTCCAAAATGACCTTTAACCCTTGAAAGTAACCAAAATAACTCCGCTCTAGCTCTACAGAATCAAGCAGACCAGCATTCATGCTAATCCAAAGCATTTACCATTTTGTTAAGGAAGCTAGTTTTATACTCATGAATTTAGAGATCACACAAACATTAAAAAAAAAGAAAAAAAAAAGAGAAAGAAACTGTGAAGGGGTTGCACTCGAATTGTATTGCATAAGTGTAGGTATTAAAAGAATGGATGTAAAAGCTATCCCCGCTTATTGACTTATTTTATTCAGGAAAAGTATACAAAGGGACCATTTACTTTTAGTACAAGGAGGTCACAATCACTGTTGTCCGTCATATTGTAAATCAAGTACTTGTAGATGTGTGACTGACTAAACTCAAGTTCAAAAAAGAATTTCTCAAACTTCATGATGCACTCCAAGCTATCTAAGTTGACATCTAATTACTAGGACAGGTTGTGACCTCCTTGAAATAATGGTAAATAGTCTCATAGTATACAATCCCTTTTTTATTTATCTATACAGTTCTATTAGCCATCTTCTATAGAGTGTAGTCTATAATCCTGCATCAAAATATTTGGATGTTTATCACCTACAAACTCTGGCAAAATAATTTTTAGGTAATGTACTATCGTTATTTGCAGTGGCAAGCTTAAAGGTAACACATAAGCCATGGACATATGTTTTGGGCAAACATGCATTTAATGTGCCCTAATGTGATGAGATAAAGACATTGGCTCCAGCAGAGCATTTATGTGTGGATTTGGAAAGTGTCCCTAGCAATCGAGTAAAGCTTTTGAGTCCAAGAAATTTAGTGAAGCTTTTATATCCCTTTATGGATTTGTATCATTTATAGCTAAAGCTCAACCCTATGCTTTCTGTTCTTTCTGTTTTAGGGTGTTTCGACTGCAAGAGAAGTTTATGAGGTTCTAAGCCATCGGGGATGGCAAGAGTTGTTCCCACTCTTTACGACAGTGTATGAAATCTGCATTGGGCACTTGTCCCCATCAGCCATTGTTGAATACAGTGAGCACAAACCGAACTTTGCTCTAGTGGATGGTTCTGCACAGGTTTACTAGATATTAAAAACAAGTACAGAAGGGAAAAAAGGAAACCCTATTTCTCTTAGGTACATATGTATTACATGACTAAAAAATAATGCCTCGAAATGGATTGGATCTGAAATTCCATATCAAGGCTGTAATATGATAGATTGAATTAGTAATAGTAGCACAGGCAATGAATGCGATGTTAGAATGTTATATGTAGTGTAACACCACAGGAAGTAGCAGTACCTGCAATGACTTTCATTGTAAGCTGAGGTTATCATTTACGGAATATTAATTGAACTTATGACGAGATAATCATCATGTGATCATGTGATCATGCCCAAATGTACTAGCATGATGGATTTTCTCTTGATGGAGATTTGAATTGGAAAATTTTAGATTAGAAGGACATATCCTACTTAATCAGGACAGCATTTTTTGGTCTTAACTATTATTTTTATACAGAGAACCCAATTTGTGGTCTGCCACAAACCCCTCTTTTTGCATCGTTCACATCAATCAATATAACCGTGGATAATATTTTCAAAACAAAAATCCTACTTAATTAGAAATAGTAACTCTCTTTTGGGTCAGCCAATTGATGATAAGATTACATTTACAAAATCAAAGGCCATGAAAGGAAAAATTACAAGCTGTAAAAATATACATACATCTATACAAACAAAAAATATGGACACAATTCAAAGCCTGAATATCAGATTAACGGAATGGAAGCGAGGAGAGAGATTCCCCCAGTATCACCATCCTTGTAATGATAAAACCGGCTTGAATCTCATACTGTGATTTTCCAATCCTCGACCCTCCATTTGTCTCGAAACCAATTCAGCTGTCTCATGATCCCCATGAAGTCGGCAGGCAGCAAGCATGTTCGCCAAAATCACAGGCACTGGTTCAAAAGGCATAGAATATATGACACTTAATGCTTCTTTGAGGCGCCCTGCCCTTCCAAGGAGATCGACCATGCACGCGTAATGCTCCATCCCTGGACTAATCCCATACTTTTGGCTCATGCTCCTAAAAACTTCGAGACCTTCCTCTACCAGTCCTACCCTTGCACAGGCAATCAAAGCCCCTATAAATGTAATGTAGTCGGGCTCAAGGCCATTCTCCTCAAGCTCAGAGAAGAGAGAGAAAGCCAAGTTCCCAAACCCATTTGTGGCATAGCCCATAATCATGGCAGTCCATGATACCAAATCTCTCCTTGCCAACACATTGAAAACCAACCGAGCAGAATTGATAGACCCACATTTGGCGTAAGTGTCCAAGAGAGAGGAACCCACCACTACATCTGAGCTCAGACCATATCTAAGAATGTAGCCATGGATCTCCTTGCATTGTTTCAAAGCAAGCAAGCGAGCACAGGCTGGTAGAATAGTAGTGATAGCAAAAGCATCGGGTCTTGTGTTTAAGAAGACCATTTCGCGAAAGCAAGCCAAGGCTTGCTCGTCCAACCCACTCTGCATAAGCAGGCCGATCATCTCGGTCCATAGGACCACGTCTTTCTTTGAGAGAGTCTTGAAAAGAGAATAAGCCTCATCGATCCCCCAAAATTTGGCATAATTCTTTATTAGAGCCCCCCCCTCAACTGGCTTCAGCTCGAGGCCATGGCGCAACACATAACCATGGACTTCTCTGATATAATTACAGAAGCTCACAAAGAGACAAGACAGTAAGAGGAACTGATATATTTGCCATAAGAATCAAAAGAACTGAATTTAATGCCCTGAGATAAGGAAGTTTGTGCCCATAATCCATACAAATAACTTGCACAATTCTACAGAAGTAAAAGTGTACTGTGAGAGAAGGAATTCTACATTCATGTCCCCTGACGCAGCAAGCGTCCATCTTAAAGATGGATGCAAAAGAGTCGTGCTCCCACAAAGGACTAAAACGAATGGTCAAGAATTATTCCACAAAAAAATGTCATTTTTTAATTTTTAAAATTCAAGTTTTTGCATATATTAATTATCTTCATGTTGGAGACAATATAAACCTCGAACATTGGATTCAAAATCTATCTCAAAAATTCATAATGGACAGAGTACGCACATCTACATACGAGTCGGCTGACTTATATTAGCCGTGTCCTATATAGGTTTCGATTCTCATGACTTTCGAAATCCTATAGTATGAGCATAACACCCCTATATTTTCTTAGAGTGTATTTCTCCCATCATTTCAGAGATTCTTGCCGGTAAAAGGTATCGACCATATACCCCTAGAATTCATGCTAGATTTCCAAATATGCATCCCTAACCCACAGTCATGTCAAGAACATGTGTATCAATGTTGCACATGTGTGTTTAATGTGCAAGGGAGATGGAGAAACAGGTGCCCATCTTTTGGTGCACTGTCCGTTTGTCTCAAAAATTTGGTAATGCTGTTTTCAGCAGTTGGGGGCGAGGATGTTATGTACTGGATAATGTAACTCAATTTGCTTCCCCAAGTTTACCCAACATTGTCCCTGTGATTTGAAAAATACTGAGGGGTACGATACAGTGGGAAGTGTGGAAAGAATGAAATTGGCGCACATATGATGGGAATGAGTTGTCAATTCTCAACAACATCAAGCATTCCTTTTGGCGTTGGCTGTCGATTACCAAGGAGGATTGGGGTATTTCAGAAGTGGACATAATGCTAAATCTCTCAAACTTGTTTAAATTGGGTGTGGTGAAATGTCAGCCTAAAGGTAGATGGTTCCCACCATTGCAAGGCCATTTTAAGCTAAATTGGGCGTGATAAAATGTCGGCCTAAAGGTAGATGACTCCCACCATTGCAAGGTTGTTTTAAGTTTAACTTTGATGGAAGCTCATATGGTAATCCGGGTCAGGCTGGCAATGGGCGGATTCTTAGAGATTGGAATGGTAAGGTCCTTTTTTTTTATGCTGGCCCCTGCAGAGTCGCTACTGCTAACCACGCTAAATTCTCAGCCCTACTCCAAGGTTTGAAGATTTTTTAAGAAAGAAAGATAGAAATCTTCAGCAGTGTGGAAGATGTCTGGCTGAATGTTATTTGATGGTGTAATAAGGAACAAAGAGTGCCTTGGCAGTTGAAATCGGTTTGGCTGCTGATACTCTTGCAAAAAGGGGTGTCGCCCTTTCTTTGTTGTTGGTGTCCGAAAATGTTATTTCATTTATGTAATCTCCTGTCATTAATAAGGTTTATTAATATTGGTAAAAAAAATACATATGCACACTATACACGCATAAGCATGCCCTTGCGGATTCTTCTATCCCTCACAATTTACAAATAAATACACGAGTCTCTCACATGGACACAGGATAACACCCTCAAATAGGAAATCTAAATTTTGGTTCCCATAGGGCAAGCACCTAAAAACTGGTACCACGAGGGCAATGCATATGCGTTCCTTAAGATTGGAAGAACTATAGCACATTGTTCCACAATCATTATATTCCAATTGGAGGGACATATAGAGAGGCTAGGCCCTGATGTACATGTTAGGAAATATAGGCAATGATCAATGACGAGTTCAAGGCATCATAGTGGGTGGCTTGATTCGAGATTGGAAGACAGCATCATTTAATATCAACACGCCTAGTGTCAATCGGTGCTACGTTAGGAACCTTGATCTATCTAAAGCTGGGGATCTTATCTGTTGAAGGTTGAAAATTTTGTCCATGAATTTCTTGACAAGAACCCCTGCTAGGGATCTGGGGATCTCGTCAGAAACAGATAAGGTTAACTCTGATGGAAAATTATAATATGATCTATATAGTTATTTATAGTAATAAATAACAACCATGACCATGCGATTTATCACCATCCAATCAGTTGGTTGGACAGTGATGGAGTGAAAGTAGCCGCATACAATTAATTAATCAAATTGTATGGTGGGACCCATTCCCCTTCATCACTGTCCAACCATCTATGTGATGGTGATAACCTCATGGCCATAAGACAATGAGGATGATATTGGTCATGTTATACACCACAGTGCTAAAAGCAGTTGAAGTTCTCTAGACATTCACAATTCTGTTGAGTCCAAATCCAGAGCTGCCTTGGCTGAAATTTTTTGTGACTGGTTGTAGTGAAAGGAAATTCAATGTATGTAACTAGATGGAAACAACAAAAACAATTAACAAAGACTATGGAATGCTAAAGAACAAGAAGAGACCAGAAGCACCTCAGTGGACAGGAGAAGTTATGGAAGAATGAAGGCGATTAGCTAGCAAGTTCATCTAGAATAGGAGAAAAGCTAGCAACAGTGCAGATCTTTTTCCATACATTACAGGAAGCTAATAAATTGCTGATTCTCTTGCTAAAGGGACAATGTTTAGACGGAAGAAAACTACCTAGAACTGCATTCCCTCTGCCTAAAATTTGTGCCAATCATTGAGAAAAGGAATATTTGGTTGGTTTCCAGTGGGCCACATGAATTCTACAAGGAATTATATCAATTGTGTAAAAAGGCCACGCCAATGGGATCTACCTCCCTCACTCTCCACGCCCCCCAAAAAAACAACACACAGGTATGCACGAAGTTACAAGCACAATAACAAAACCTATCAATACATGCGTGAAGTTACAAAGTTACAGGGACACTAACAAGCACATCATAACACTAAAATTCCTTAGCACAAGCATAATCAAAAGCAACAAATTCCAAGTACCTGGCCCATCTCCTGCCCCCAACCCTTGCACAAGCAGCGATCAGACTTGCTATGGTCACGTAATTCGGCTCCACCCCAGCCTCCTGCATAGCTCTAAAAAGTTCCAATGCCTTATGACCATGTCCATTCTTGACAAAACTCGATATTAATGCAGTCCAAGAGACCACATTAAGCTCAGCACCCATCTCCACCATTTCCCTAAATTGCTCTAAAGCCTTTTCAACACACCCCATATCGACATACCCCGTAATTAATGAAGTCCAATATATAATATCCACTTTCCCTGCCCCAGCTAAAACCTTCTCAGCATCGTCTAGCCTATGGAAACTGATATACATATTGGCAACAGAATTTTGAAATGTGTATTCAGTTCCTAACCCATTTCTGATCAAGAAAGCATGCACTTCTTGGCCATTTTTTACATACCCAAGGTCTGAAATGGCTCTGAGGACACATGAGAGAGTCGGTTCACTGGGTTCAAATTGGCTTAATTGCGTCTCTCTAAAGACGTTAAGAGCCTCTTTAGGATCACCATTTCTCACAGAACAAGCAATAATAGCGGTCCACAGAAGATTTATTCTTTGATGCATTTTATCAAATACCTTCTGTGCATCTTCAACGCACCCACATTGGGTATAGAGAGTCACGAGATGGTAACCTAAAGGGCCACTTGGGTCGAGCCCATTAAGTATTATTTGAGCATGTAAAAGCTTACCTTCTGCTAGGTCTTTCCTAGCTGTGCAAGACTGCAATAAACTTGAGAATTCATCACTGGTTTTGAGCTTTATATGGGCTGTGAGCTTTGATTTTTCTTGGGTTTTGATATCAACGGAAGGGAACTTGAAATCACAGAGAGTAGTGCCATCTTCGTTGTATCTTGGGTGGAAGAAGTTGGAGAAAGACATACTGAAATTCATGGTGGATTAGGTGGGGTTACAGGCGTTGGTGTTTCAGGTCGACTGCCATGGAAGCAGGAGAGTAGAGTTAGAGAGACAGGATTAGAATTGGCTGGTCGGAACAAAATCTCCACTTTGTCTCCTCTCTCTCTCTCTCTTGTCTCTCTCCTGTGGTCCACAGTTTGTGGTGGAATAGTGGATAGAGAGGGAACTCACGGAAGTGGCCTCCAATGGATGAGGCCCCCTTTTTTTCCATTTTTGTTTTCTTTTTCAATATTTCGGCGAAATTTCGGTGTGAAACCAGAATTTCATTTTGAATTTCCAGCTGAAACATTGAAGATTTCGTCGAAATCACAAACTATAATCGAAACCCCATGAACAAGGAGCTCACTAGCTGGCATGGGCGATGAACGGTTTAGAAACAAAGTTAGAACAATGTATTTTTAAGGTTCAAAATCCCTTTTCTTTCGTCACACAAATTTTTTTTATAAGTAATTGAGGTTGGCTACACCAATTTTTGTCTACGGTTTTGCTTTATTAAGGGTCATACCTTCATTGAGGCTATAAGTTTTTGTAAATTTTTTTTATAGTTCAAAATCCATTTATAATTATAATGCTTGAGATTATTGGCCTGTGAAATTTTTTAGGTCTATTTTTGAAAGAGACCATATTTGAATAGGTGGATCTACTTATGCTTGAACACCATCCATAATAATTTTTTGGAAAGGTGTTTGGCGTGTCCGACTCACACTATTTTTGTGCGGGCTCCTTATAAAATATATGTCAAAGATCTATTTTCGATCCAAAATTTTAGTGTTCAATAATCTCAACCATAACAATGACCTAAATTTTGATTTTTTTTTCAAAAAATATAAATGTTATTTTTTTGGACTCCTTTCTTCACCATCCATTTAAACTTTTTTTTTTTTGACTAAAGTTATGAGCTTTTATTGAAGCAGCATGGAGTTACATAGTCGGAATTAAATCAGACGAAACAAGTAGAGATTTAAGGGAAACTCCAAGCTTAGCAAGCCCATCTACTTACGTCATTAGCTGAAAAAAAACTCGCAGAGATGGAATAGCACAAAGATCATAAATGTTGACCCAAAAGAAATCTAAGGACAATGGAATCCGAAACTCTTGACTGCACCATTTAACGACATTCAAAGAGTCACCTTCAGCAATAATGTCGCCCGAAAACCCCTTCTCAATAATAATTTTAAGGCCTTGTAAAAGAGATAAAATTTATGCGTAGTTAGCCGTATTGTTGCCACAGCAGCAGCCGGAGTAAGAAAAGAGAACCTGACCAACACTATCACGGAAGATACCGCCAACTCCGATCAGACCTTGGTTGCCAAAAGAACTCCCATTAAAGTTGAGTTTAAGACAACTATCTGAAGGTCGCTTTTAGGTCCGACAAGGACGACCATGATAAGAGTTTAATAGATGTAATATTTTTTGACATCCACCTTAAAGATGAAGGTTAGATAGGCAAGGAACTGTACGGTAATAGGGAGTCAGATGACTCACCAAAACCGTGTCCAACAAAATTTGGTCCAAAATTTAGAGAACTCAGAGTTTCACATATGGTACAAAATGATAATGATGTTATAGTGTATGATCCTTGGGAATAAAATACTTGCTTCACTATCACTAGAAACTAGTTAATTATACATTCAACAAACAATCTAATCTTTATGGGTTTGACCTTTTTTTTTACACTATCTAGTATTTATAATGAACACATATAACATAGTCCATAGAAATACACTATTTATTTACCCCCTTGGGCCAAATATCTACTTTGGAAAGGTTTTCAAAATTTGATGAGAAATTTTGGGATCTACTTTAGAATCTGGCGTCTTTACGTCCACTTCAAGCACACCCAAGGTTTGTGGGGTGTTAAAGGGAGGTAAGAATTGGTTTTTTTTTTTTTTCTTTTTGCGCAATTCAATGGGAATGATTGGCCTAACCTGTTTTTGAATTATTTAGTGGTTTTTGAAGCTATAAGTAGGAATGAAAGCCATAACATGCGACTGAAATACGGGGGTGTGATACAAGGGAATGATAGGCCCAACCTGTTTTTGAATTATTTAGTAGTTTTTGAAGCTATCAGTAAGAATGAAAGCCACAACATATGACTGAAGTAAGGGGATGTGCTACCGCCTTGACCTCAACCCTTTTCCCATGGTAATAGGGTTTGAAAGTAGAGAAGAGAGAACATTCAAAGTAAAAAAAAAAATGAAGAGAGTAAATGCCTAAAACTAACCTATCACTTACATTAGCTTTGTCCATCTATAAACCACACCACCATTTATGTACCATTTTCAAAGAAAAAAATTTGTATTTTGAGTTCTTAGTCTTTCCCTACAAAAATTAGAGGGCTCCTATGAAATCTTGAAACGTCATTTTTTCTTTGCAAATAAGAGAGTTTTTTTTTTCCTTAGAGGTTAGTCGCTGAGTTCTAGAGATAATATCCCCAGCATATGAGATCTAAAAAATATATTTGTAGCATAAGTTTAACTAGAGAATAAATGGACGGTATACTCCCATAGGAGTATGAAATCTTTCATGAAGCTTAATTCAATATGAGAATTTAAACCTCCAAGCTGGGTGTTCAATGTGTATCAATTGAAATATATAAAAGAAGGAAAATCTTCGAGTGCTTATTTGGAAAACAGGTTCACCGGCCACGTGAGATCCATAACCAATAAGTTCGTAAACTCAAATGACGCATGCGGTCCACATTAATTATTCCTCCCAAAATCCACTTGCAATCCAACTCATTAACATTGGAGCCACTGAATCAAAAGAATAAGGACCCAGTTTCTATGCAATAAGGATCGGTTTCTATGCGGCCAATAGAAATGTGGGCCTATTAATAAATCTATTTTTGAGATGGATTTTTGGGCTTAATTAGTAATCTCTAACATGAAGATCATGAATATGAAAAAATAAGTAAATTTTAAAACTATAAATAATAATCTCTAAGATGAGAACAGGAATATTAATAAATCTATTTTTGAGATGGATTTTTGGACTTAATTAGTAATCTTTAATATGGAGATCATGAATATGAAAAAATAAGTAAATTTTAAAACTATAAATAATAATCTCTAAGATGGAGAACAGGAACATGAAAAAATAAGTAAATTTTAAAACTATAAATAATAATTGTAGTAAGAAAACATTTGGATCGTTACTTTCCATTGTTTTTAGATGGAACACCTACTTGCATCAATCTCAAAATGCTTTGCACTTAGTCATGACGTCCAGCCCGCATGAAACAAATTTCCAAAGAATAATACAAAAAGGTTTAATAAAATTACGGGCATACAATTTTTTTGTTTGTCTTCAACTCACTTCGACATCATCCATCATCCTTGGCCAAGCCAAGGCAGAACAAGCTTGACGTCAGGCTTGATCATCAAAACCCCATTAATTCATTTACTACGATTATTGTGGACAACTTCCTTCACATGCAGCTTCATATAATGCAATGGTAGTAACCAATCCAAAAACCAGTGAGAGTATTTGAAAAGCTCTCTTACCTCTATGGCAAAGCATTTCAGAACCATATTTTTGTAGAAACACCATTGACCAACTCGATTGGGTTTGCTTTGGTTCAAACATTCTTCACAAAGCGGTGGGGTTGGTCTCGAGTAGCCATCAGGCCAAACTAGGGGGGAAGAACAAGTTCTATTATGATGAAAAGGTTCAGAGATTGATTAAAGGAGGTGCGGAGACCCCCAAATGAAGAAGCAGTTTTGGCACCTCCCGCAAACCCTGCAAGTTTTCGAAATGGTATTCCAGATAACCCAAATAAATAGTGTGATTAAAAGCCAGATGTCTTGGACAGGAGATAAGGTCTTCAATCCCCAGAGAGCACAGTTCGGGGATTCCCCCAATCCCTCCCATGAACCAATTTTCTTCTCATGGATGTATGGGTGTTTGCTCAAAATATGTCGACACCGTCAACAAGGGCACGGGCGCTCCTCAAATCTCCTCCAATCTCCCACTCTTCCCTCTGCAAAGCCAGTCTCCCAAATACAATTCTCCCTTCCAACACCAGCTACCCCAAGTGAAAGCATTCCTAGCCATGCCATAGAACCCACAAATATGATGAACAAAGGAGACCTATTCATGTCGAATGCCTTTAAATCCCCATCATCATCATCACCGCCATCATCATCAGCATTATCATCATCCATGCAAGGACATGGGTGGATGGACAATGTGGCATCTATTGGGAGTAAGAGAACATCAGGCAATGGCCTCGTTACCTCTAGGTCACAAGCTGCTTCTTGGAGTGGCAGCTTTGCCAATATGCTTGGTGGTGAAACCAAACTTATGGATCAGAAGCCACTTTCCATGGCTGCAATGGATCAAAAGCCACTCTCCATCATCACCCAAATCATCATTAGTGGCATAAGCACTGGATATGTTCCCATGAATGGTGGCAACCTCGGTAATGATTTACAAGTAGAGCTGTAACTTACGGTTAGAGATGAAAGCTGGGGGGGCGTCTATCTCTCTCTCTCCTCCTCCTACCACCCCCTACCCCCCCCCCCCCCCCCCCATCCCCCCTTGCCCCCGTCCACTTCTGCCCTCAAATCCTTCAAAGCACAAATTGACTTGGCTAATGAAACAGCCTGAAGCCCCAATCCTAAACCCCATGAGCACGAAACCCCTGTGGCCTGAAATGCTTCCACTTCTTTTTTTCAACCCATACGAGTATACCTTCTTAAGCATGAGCTAGGCCCTTCCATCAAAATGACTATGGTGCCCTCGGCCATCAAGCCTGACAGCTTCTTGACCTCGCAGGCCACCACAGTCAAGACCTTCATGATCTGTGGACCAAAGAGGCATGCATCAGCTTGCATCACTTGGTTGAATAAATCAGCCAAGACATGAAGTACAACCCACACAGATTAACATATACTTGCAATGAAAATTCATTCAGTCCTTCACCATGCTATTTAATCATTCTCTTCACATGAAAGTACTGAAACTCCTTGAATACAAATATCTGTTAAATATAAACAAACAAAACCAAGGGAAAAAAACATAAAAACTCCATTATCTCTCTTGAAAAAACACTGCTCCCTCCTTGTATTGAGTAAATGAACAAAGTTAAATGGACCCCCAATCTACCTTTTCCTTTTCTTTTGGCGTGAACCAACTTGATAAGAAGCCTGTGAATGAGGAGAATTTGCAAGCTCCCTAGGAATGATAGCCCCAGATTGTTTAAGCATCCTAACAAAATCCTTGAACAAACTCTTGTCCTCCTCATTAACAAATACTATAGCCTCTCCTGCCTCTCCCAATCTTGAGGCCCTCCCAATAAGGTGCACATACTCTGGAACTGAGTTTGGCATGTCAAAAATTATGACCTGCCTCACCCCCATCAAATCCATTCCACGACCCAAAACCCCAGTAGCCACAATCACAGACATCTCACCTAACAAAAACATCCTCAAACTCTCCCTTCTTTCTCTCATACCCTTCTCCCCATGAATAGAAGAAGCTCTCAGACCAGTTGAGACCCTAATAGCCTCAGCCAAAAGATCAGCTCCAAATCTAGACCCCACAAACACAACTGCTGGTGGCTTGAAGTGCTTTTCACTCTTCAATATTTGAAAGAGTTTCTGCTTCTTCTCCTTTGTTTCTACCCATATCACCACCTGTCTCACAGTGTCACTGGGTCTATTTACCTTCCCCACCGTTATGACCACTATGTCTTCAGCCATGGACTTGGATAATTTCTCAACCTCACGAGGCAATGTAGCTGAGATCATCACGATTTGTGGTCTTGAGAGGGCCCTCACAATCTGCATCACCTGATCAAGAAACCCTTTCTCGAGCATGCAATCCACTTCATCTATGACCAACGTGCGGACCTCATCTAACTCAAATTCATGCTTAATTAGTAGGTCAACGAGTCGGCCAGGAGTTGCAACAATAAGCTCGATCCCCTTTCCAACCCTATAGGCCTGACTAGCCATTGGGTTACCCCCAACAATTAATGCGGTCTTGAAGGGCAGGCCCTTTCCAAAAGCTTTGGCTTGCTCCTCAACTTGGGCACAAAGCTCACGAGTTGGGGCCAAAACTATCGCTAATGGTCTCTTCTGATCCAAAAGCCGTTGTCGTCTTACAGTGTAGCACTTAGATATAATAGGGATCAGATATGAGGCTGTTTTGCCAGAGCCTGTTTGTGCCAAAACCAATAAGTTTCTACCCAGTAAAGCAGCTGGGATCACTTGCATCTGAATGGGTGTGGGTATATCGTATCCTAGGGACTCAAGGTTATCTTGGAGCTTTTGGGGAAGGTTGCAGTCGGAGAATGATACAATTGGAGCTGGAACTGAACTGCCCAGAACTCGAATATCATTTTTGTTTCTCAAGGAATCAATTTGGTTTGATGTTAATGAAGAATCTGAACATTGTTGCATAATGTCGCTTACATAGACGCATTCATCAAGGGCTGTGAGCTTAATTACAGTTGGGGATGGACCTATTGGTTTCGGGGAGGAGGACCTGATCCTTTTGAGAAGTATTTGCTTGCATTCTTTACTGCAAATATCGTCATCGGTCTCATCACATATGTACTCACCATAACGGCCACAGATAACACAACGAGGTTCACCTTGTAAGGCCCCTCTCTGATCACAAGACCTGTCCTTGATTGGACTTTCTGTTTTGAAACCATGAAATACGCTAATTAGTAAAAAGACTAACATTTTTTCGATTTTCACTTAGGTTGAACACTTAGAGTGCATCAACCAGCGGATATCTCAATATTCAATTCCAACACAGTACAAGAAGATAAATTTTCTAGTAAGAATTCGGAATAGAAGAGCCAAAAAGAGTCTAACATCAATAGTGACTAATGAAGGGGTAAAAAAGAAAAAACCATCACAGAGTAGTCATATGATCCTTACATTCACTGGGATAATTCAAAACTATTAAGACATGTATACTGAAGTGAAGTGGCTTCCAAATGATTAATTAATGGTTTACAGAAGTAAAAACACCAATTTAAATGCAGAATATCCATTCGATAAAACCTAATCTGAGACTACAGCAAAAATCTCTAAATGTTCAATTCACCTATTACAGCAGATAATATGCCACCATGTATACAGAGTTTCCATTCAATAAAACCTAATCTGAGACTACAGAATAAATTTCTAAATGTTCAATACACATATTGCAATATGTAAATATACCACCATGTATACAGAGTTTCCATTAAATAAACCAAAGTCTGAAATTCAAAGTAAAATGACACTTATAAACAGGTAGAACCCAGAGACAATCTGCTGTAACATGTATAGAAAAGTGCATGTCAAGATGACCAGAGAAAAGCTAAGTATTCTATAACATTAATATAAATTCATAGAAAATGTAAGCACACATTGATAGCCACCTCTACTAGTTAGAATGCAGGGATATACAAACTCTGAGAAAAGCAGCAAAAGATACTTGGGAGATGCTTCGAATTGAGTAAACCGAAATTCAATCAGATTGTTTTTTAATGAATTTCTATGTTTGTTTCGAGAGAGAGAGAGAGAGCATATTTAGCAGGACCATTTTTTTCTTCCAGTTTTAAGGCATACCTTCATCACCATCAGATTCTTCAGCCAATTGTTCGCGAAAATTAATCTCGTTCTCTTTCTCCATGACCTGATGGAAAAACCTGCTTCAGTATTGTTAATGCTTCAGTATTGTTGAGTTTTCGAATTTTAAGCTATTATATAGGGTCCATTAGAGCTATAGATGTGGTCAAATGGGCATCACCGTCTCGTTCAAAAGATGGACGGTCCAGAAAGTTTTATGGGACAGTTATGACCCAACTACAGTTTTTATATCCATCAGTAGAGTTAATACTACTTTCTCGGTTTATCGGAGCCCCTAAACATAGGGAGAAAAATAAAGGAAAAATTATGGATACACCTTCGAGTACTATGTAGCAGTGTTCGAAACAACGGATCGGGCCGTGTAGTTGGTCCTAGCCCGATCCGATTAGTCCGACTGATTCCAACTAGAATGGCCGATTAGTGCCTCGATTTTTTTTAAAAAATGTAATTTTAGTAAGCTATTCTAGAATGAGAGAGAGGGTATGAAAAGGGCATTATAGTCTTAATTTTATTAATTTTTTGACTTGGGTAAATAAAAGGAGGGTGCAGTTGGCATACAGATGCATCCGTAGCTCTATAGGTAAGGTGCAACTTCAAATTTTATCATGGTATATAATTTTGATGTAAACTGGTTTTAGGACTATCTCAAAATCTATTTTTATATCTAATTATAAAGTTTTAAATTTTAAAAATGGTTAAAATCAAGTAGATCTATAAACATATGCAAATCTTGAAAATGGACGGTGTAGATAATATGTTGTAAAATATACTATTTCTAGATTTAAAATCTTTTTATTTTTCATGGTTATACATCTCGATGTCAAGATGATCAATCAAAGGGTTTTTCAAGATTAAAACTACCTTTTTCGATGGATTTTTTAGGTGCATCCGTAGCTATGGCAGTAAGGTTGCAACTTTATGTAACTTTTTCCATAGAAGAAAAAGAGTATTGGGTCTCGGGTATGATGCTAAAAGTATTGGGGTGTAAGGTGTCTAGAGAGTTCATTTTGAAGATATCTATAATTTTCCCTTTTTTTTGAATGTTTGAATGAACTTTGAAGATGATATTGCTCGAGTGATATTTTGATTAAGGGTGGCAATGGACCTGACTAAACCTGGGACCCGTTGGGTAGACCGACCTCGGGTTTGGGGATAGGACTCGTACCCATAGTCATAGGGTATATGATGACAATCATGTGTCTTTAAACGCGCGTTAGGTGATCATATTTTCACAATATTGGCAACATTTACAGTATTATTGGCAAAAGAAAAGAAGCTCTCAATCACAGGGTATATGATGGTTAAAAAAAAGGTACTACAAAAAAAAATAGAAGTTGATAGTCATAGGGTGGCAATATATCCAACAAAACTCCAGACCTGACGGTTATGGGTCCAAAATTTGAACTCGAATACTATTCGGGTGTGGGTCCGGGTCTAGCCGGACCCGACCTATTGCAACCCCTAATTTTGATATAGGTGTAATTTTGATGGGTCCTCTAATATTAGGTATATGTCCTTTTTAAGCTTACTATTTATGACTTTATGCGATTAATTATGTTGATTTTGAAAATAGTAAAAAGACCATGTTGATAGGCATTTGAAGATTGTGTTAATATATTGAAAGATGTTACTCATTTATTTGAAGTAACTCACATTTACTTTGTTAGAGTAGCCGTCCGCTCTCCATTGGCATCTCGAGGGAAAAAAAAGCAACAACAATGTAGTCTCAACATTGTCCGAAAAACCAGCCGGTTAGAATTAGAACCGGTCAGTTAGAATTACAAACAGTCAGTTAGCTTAGAACCGTTAGTTTCAAGTTCGGTTAAGGGCGGTTAAGGTACAACCCCATAAATTTTCAAGCCCAAAACCGGCCGGTTAGGGGTTGAACAGGCCGTGTTTTGCTCAAACCGACCGGTTTTTCAATTCACCGAACCGGTTAGTGGATATAACGGGTTTTATAAACAAATAATGGTATAATTATTCTAATGCCCGTTATTTTTAATTAAAGCCGTTATTTGATGTAAGAATTTACATGTTGATTTTTTTTCTTGCTTTTTTATTCTTTTTTCTAGCTTTTTTTGGCATTTTTCATGCTTTATGGCTGTAGAACACTATTTATTGTTGGTAAAACAATCCAAGATTGAAAAATCAAGAGATTTTGTCAATTGAAACGGCAGATTTTCATGCCTTTTGAAATTTCCGCCATTTCATCAATACCACCTTCAATAGTCAATGGTTTTTGCTGAAATTTGGGGTTTTTAATCCGAATCGAATCATCCATCATATACCTCTTTTAATTTGTTCAAAAATCAAAAGATTGGGGGTTGCTTTTGGCTCAAAAAGCTTATGCTCGAAGAACCTGTGTTCAATCCCAAAAAACAGAGTTTGGATGCATTTTTTGGTCATTTTTTATCAAATTGAAATGTGTATTTTAGTCATCAAGGCTTCATCTATCATATAAACTAGGTATGCTTATTTATTATTGAATAAATATTTTTATATGAATTTTTCCTTGCTCGATTTCATAGTTCTGAATTTTTCACTATTTTTTCCAAAAACATTTATATGAGTTTTGGTGCATTTGAAAGGGTGATCAACACCTTTACAGTGCTCGTGTCCTGATTTGTTCGATTATCCAAACAATGAGGGTCGTTTCTTGCTTGAAATGCTCCTCAATTTTAGGAGTTCTTGAGAAATCGATATTTCAAAAAATATATATTTTACTTTATAAAATTATTATTTTTTATGAATATGGGAAGTATTTTTTTTGTTGTTCTTAACAAAATAATATTTTTAATAAAATTATTTATTTTGATAAAAATATATTGTTTTGATTTATACGACGAAACCTATATGTATCGACCTATTTACCTTGCAATATCGCTGAAATTCTAGATGGAAATGTAAAAGTTGGTGAATCAATTTCTTTTCCATTGTTTCTAATAGGAATTAACAATATCTTAAAAGCGACGTAAAACTTGAAACTGGAGTGCGTAAAACTTGACCAGTTAATTCGGTTAACTTTCCCGATTAGTCCAGTTCTGATTCTAACTACTCCAAACCCCATGTCTGGTTAACCGTTCAATCTTGCAAACAGTGGCATCATTTTGATGCTTCCAAATTTTCAAATTTCAAATTTCCAATTTTGCCTCTAATCCCCTCCATCTCTCTCTCCGGACCCATTTTTCGTAGTCGAAGACCATTTAACTCGACGAAAACGACTTTCCTTAAAGATTTTTTTTTTTTTCTTTTTGACTAGTTAACAGCAGGAATGGAGGGTGGTAGCAATTTGACACTGACGGACAATAAAAACCTGAAGTGTCCGATGAAGCTCTCTCTTTCTCCTTCTCTGCTTTTTCCAACCAAAGGAGCCAAAAACTTTTTCGGTCCCAGTGATGAACACAGCGAGATTCAAATCCACGCTAGTTGAATCTCTTACTTTGAAAAGCCCCAATTTTAATGGGACCATGGAAAAAAATAAATATTCTAAATTTAGTGATGAATTTGGAAAAGAATTGTGAATTCTGCAGTTGCCAATTTTGCTAAAAAAAACCTGTACTTTCAGTCCTCTTTGGTTCCATCACATTCAATCCCCTTTGCATTAGCAACCCTGGTTTTGAAACCCATATTTAATGGCTTCTCTCTCTAAAAACCCAAATTCCATGGCGTTTTGAGATAACATACCAAGTAAGTTTCGTGACGATCATGGAGGGAAAGAGAGAAAAAATGGTTTTTGGTTCACTTGCTCTTCAAACAACTAACAGGGAAATATTATGCAGAGCATATTAATTATAAGCAATGTAAGATACTGAATGTCCCCTTAAGATTTATGATATGGAGAAACGTATGAATATAGACAAGCTTTAAAAAAATTATACCTTCAGATTATACATCATAAAACCACAATCGCCCCTATCTGTCAAATGCGAAATCGAGTGACTAAGATCATGTCATTTTTCTACAGAGTCTCTGATACTTTTCTCAGTCAATGGAACACAACCCCAGCCGCCCAATTGACGACTAGTAGTGATTGGGACCTTGTACCAAAGATAAAAACTTAACCTTTCTTAGGGATTTTTTTTCCTTTTCATTGTTTTTCCAAGTTTCTATCAAGAAATGTCCAATTTTTAAAACTCTAAATTCTACCAAGAAATAACCTAGCCACTACATTCCCCTGAAATAGAACTGCTATGCCCTCCATACTCCTAACTCATCATAAATTCCCGTATTGCTTGTGATGAATATGGTGAGCTTCCTCGACTAATCCAAAATCATTGTGATGATCTAACCTCCTATCCAAAATCATTTCTAAATGAGCAGGCAATAGTCACCTTTTAATGCACAATCAACATGGCACGAAAATGCAAACCTCCATACAACTTACCAACAGATTGCAATCCAAATTTTTTATTTGTACCTTCCAGGGCCCTGGGTATATGAATATTAGGGAAATTGAGTAACCAAGAGAAAATGAGCACTGAGGTCAGAGAAAAGCCCCGCCACAGTGGCCTTTATGCCATAGAATCCTTTTGCTTTTTTAATAGCTCGTCTCTAACACGCTTGATCTCCATTTCTCGTTCTAGTCTCTCTTTCTGTAATAAGAAATATAGAAAAAGAGTGACTAATTGGAAAGATAAATTTGTTTTGTGTCATTGTGCTTGATCAGCTAGCATTTTTAGGAAAGTGGATCATGATACAATAACAGTTTACCAATTCAGGTCCAGTAGAGCATTGGCAAAAGCATAATAACATAATAAAATAATGAAGTTTGTTTCCTAGTCGTGGAAGAAAAAGTTGGAAGAGAAAACCAATTGCATTATTGATCAATTCTGACCAGGAACTTTGGAAATTTGACAAACATCATTATATTTTTTATGATGAAAATCTCATTTTCTCTTTTGACTTAAGCGTGCAACTAGATCAATGCAAGCTTCATTAGGGTCAGAAGATCAATACAAACACTCAGTTGATTAATAAAACCTGTAGAACTCCCAGTCAGGTGACAAAGTGCAAGTAGTGTTTAAATTATAGAGGAGCCATGTCTTTAATAATCTTCCCCAAAAGGTGGCATATCAACCCTACCTGGCGTAACCTTGATAGTTATCTAAATATAAAGCTCCTTACACTGTTTTAAGTACTTCCCTCTCATGAAATAGTAACACATGAAGACTACTAAAGTCGCCCCCTAACCATAAAACTCTTTATGCCCTTATAGCAAATTCTTTTCCAAGGACTGCCTAGTGCTTTTCAATCCCAATTTTTAAAAACTTTTTAGAAACATTTTAGGATCCTTTCAAAAATCTAGTGATTTTAAAAAATATAGTGATTTTTCAAACTTTCTAGAAACTTTTCATACGATTCTTTTTTAAGGACCGCCTAGTGATTTTTCAAAAACCTTCCATATGACTTCTAAGGAGGACCTCAACCAAAGAACTTAGCAAATAAAACCATTTTCTTCAGTTTTCTATCGACACATTCTAAGGATCCTTATCATTGGCACTAATACGATGTTAAATTTGAGATTCGTCCCAAAAAAGCTTTTCTGAGTTGTCAAAAGATGGGCTCAAAAAATTGGAGAAACAAGAACCATGCCATAGTTTAGGAGCTTATGTTTAGATAACTAAAGCATTGTAAGAATATAGGAAGGGTAGGCATGCAACCTGTTGTGGAAGGTTGGTTATTGACCACAAAGAAGGACATTGCTCCACTATTTTAGTGGTAGAGTACACTTGACCAAAATGAAAATTTATATATAAAACAACTATCAACTTTAAGACAAGCACAACAATCCACAGAACAGCATCAAATAGATAGATGTTATAGCCAAAGGCCATAGCAGAGCTCCAAAAGTTTACCTCCAAGGGCTCACAAGTCAATCTCTAAGATAATAATGCAGCTTTGATACCAATTGACACAAATTGATGCAGAGCAATAATAACACCATAAAAGTAACACCAGAAAAAAAAAAGAAAAAAAAAAAAGTTTGAGAGAATATACCCTCTCAAGGTCTGCAAGGGAATTCACCCCAAAGTTGAGAGAATATACCATCTCTCAAGGTCTACAAGGGAATTCACCCCAAAAATCTCTTTACGAGACCAAATTTTATTAACTCAGCCACTTTTTTTACAATGAAGGGAAACCTCCCTTTAAATAGACTAAAAAATAAGATAAACATTAACCAAAAAAAAACTCTCCCTATACTTTTCCTTTTTTATCTCTTCTTCCCTATTTTCTCTCTCTTAAAATCACGTGCTAAATTTTCCTTATCTTCATAAACATTAACAAAAAAAACTCTCTACACTTTCCTATTTTATCTCTTCTTCTCTATTTTCTCTCTCTTAAAATCACGTGCTAAATTTTCCCTATCTTCTCTCTCTTTAATTCACGTGCCAAAAATTAGGCTCGTTTCTATCCCACGTTTGCCCTAAATTCTCCCCAACTTTGATTATTGTTGATAAGGATAAACTCTCTCTAAACTTAACCTTATCTGATTTGTATTCCTAAACTACCTCCCCTAATTTAACCTTATCTATTTATATTCCAAACTTAACCCAAATCAATCAATAACTAATTAACCCAAATACATAAATATCAACTTCTACACAAACTCAATGCCCACAAATATCCCTGCACACCTCCTCTCTTATTCCTGAAGAGATAAACTAAAGAATAATAAAAAATTAAAATACCCCTAATATTATTTGCATCATTCTCCTCGGGTTGGGAGAAGCTCGACCTCGAGCTCAAAAGTTGGTGATGAAGTCCCACCATGAGCCTCGATACTTTTTCTTCAAGACTGAAGCCTGCAACCGTGTTCTAAGAGTAATTGTTGAATACGAGCTTGGGCTGATTATTCCTAACCAAGAATGGGTACAGCTCCAAAAAAACACCAAGTTCAATCGATAAACACCGTCGACCATGAAATTTGGGAGATCGATTTTAATATCAAAATTTCGAGGTCATTCTATAGGACGTGGCGGATCTGGCTTCTCTATAGCGGATCTGGCTTGTAAATTTCTTCAATATGCTTGAAATCAATACCCTGAATTTGTCGTGGAATTACTGCTGCAAGATAAATGTGGTTGTGAGTACCTTCTTCACGAAGAAGATTGTTCTCCAACCGCTGCAACCTCTGATTCATCTCACGTACTTCAGTTCGAAAATCCTCTGGGGCATTAGTAAAATTTTCTACCTAACGATAATCCATAGCAAGAGTAGGATTAGCTTGATTGCTTAGACCTAACTTGCTCTCAGGATCTAACTTGATCTGGATCTGACTTGCTCTGATCTAACTTGTTCTCAAGATCTGACTTGCTTTGATACCAATTAATGCAGCTCTGATACCAATTGATGCGGAGCAATAATAACACCAGAAAAATAAAAAGAAAAGGTTTGAGAGAATATACCCTCTCTCAAGATCTGCAAGGGAATTCACCTTAAGGTCGAGAGAATATACCCTCTCTCAAGATCTGCAAAGGAATCCACCCTAAAAATCTCTTCACGAGACCAAATTTTATTAACTCGTCACTTTTTTTTACAATGAAGGGAAACCTCCCTTTAAATAAACTAAAAAATAAGATAAACATTAACAAAAAAAACTCTCTACACTTTTCTTATTTTATCTCTTCTTCCCTATTTTCTCTCTCTTAAAATCACATGCCAAATTTTCCCTATCCTCTCTCTCTTTAATTCACTGCCAAAAATTAGGCTCGTTTCTATCCCACGTTTTGCCCAAATTCTCCCCAACTTTGATTATAGTTGATAAGGATAAACTCTCTCTAAACTTAAACCTTATCTTATTTATATTCTTAAACTGCCTCCCATAATTTAACCTTATCTATTTATATTCCAAACTAACAAACCCAAATCAATCAATAACTAATTAACTCAAATCCATAAATATCAACTCACACACAAACTCAATGCCCACAAATATCCATTGACTCCTCCTCTCTTATTCCTAAAGAGATAAACTAAAGAATAATAAAAATTTAAAATAATCCTAATATTATTTGCATCAGATACTCATGCTTTTTCTTTTTCTTACATTTTATACCCAAAACATCTCTCTATATCGAGGTTTTTCTTGTAATTTTCAGCATAGATATTCAATACATCTTTTATATTTTAAAAATGCCTCTTTGGTTCCATCACCCTCTAAGAACCTTCTTTTTCTTTTCCGATAATTCCACAAAATACTTGGAAGCCCTAGAAAAACGAAAAACAAACTACCCCTTCTGAAAGTTTTGAATTGAAATTTTGACATCATCAAATTTACTTAAAATTTATTTTGCCCGCCAAACAAATGTTGGACACTTTTGAAACTTTAGTTCTTGCACCTCAAACAACTTGTTAATATTAGATATAATTTTTCATTACTTCAATTATGGATATTATGCTAGACTCACATAACTAGATTAAACTTTAATGCAAATTGCAGTATATTGTTTAACTATACCTTTTATTAGGAACTAAATTTCGTTATATATCACAAGGGAAATCATATGCAAGTGTCTTCTACTGAATTCGAGAAAAAGACACTGATTTGGAGATCTTTTGTGTTGTACATTGGCGTTTTTTTTTTTTTGAACAAAAGTAGTACATTTGGTGTTATGTTCTCATCACCAATATGTACAACCATAATTATTGTGAGGGGGACCAAATTAGATCCCAGATCAGGTTGAAGCCATGCAGCGACAAGCAGGAAACTCTCGCAGTCAGTATACCTTAAAGTCTTGGGATCTTGATCCCAATATGTGGGGAAGTTTGATCCAAGATTAATATGGATCGTATGATAAATAGTAAAGGACCAAGTCATGTCGTGGTTAAAAATCGAGGTCCCCAAGAGTATTTAACTAGTTAAGTAGCACAAAATATACTACGATACTATACCACACTCCTATATAATAATATCCTGCTATACTATACTACAATACTATGTCATATAATAAATTCTATTAGACTATACCATATGCTAGTATATATAAAGTCACCATATACAACCAATGTTCGGTGTCTTAAGTGTCTAGTACGTCGGTCTAAAAAACAGTATGGCAAAGCATATCCCTACATTTATTTTTAGAATTACATTATTGCATTATATAATATAGCATTCCATCTTATAAGACTAACTAAACGGTTGAAAAGGTGGTAAGAGTGGTCTTAAAGCAAGGTATTGAGAGTTTGACTCGTTATGAGTATATCCTTTTACAACTAATAAAATATTTATTAAGTATATATATTTTAACTGTACCTTTTTTTAACATTCAACAACTATTGGTGATGTAGTAGCATGTGAGGCCGTGGAAGAGTTTAGTTAAAGTGAGGTTTGATTCCCATGATGAACATGGTTACCTTTTTATTACTAAAGAATAGTAGAGAAAGAGAGAGAAAAATGTTGTAAGCCATGGGAATGGACCAATAGACTCACCAAGAGAAAAACAGTAAGTGCTAAAATTTGAACATCTAATATTATATGTCAAAAATTGCAGGATATTCAATTTAAACTCTCGATACTGTATTGAAAAATGATGCCATCAGCCAACACATATGATCACGTCCGTTTTGGGCCCTTGTCAAAACATGTTAACAC